GTTGGACAGGTGTACCTAATAAAGTGGCCGGTGAGTGTATATAATTACACTAGGTCTCATTCACTAAACGCGTGTATGCACATATTTGCAAAAATGTTTTGCTTCTTGCCTACAAATCTTTTCATAATCTCACTTCTATCTCTAAATTTAACTCTTGTCTCAAAAACTTATTTATTTAAAATTGCTTACACTTAATTGTGGATCAATGTTTGTGAATGTTTTAATTTTTTATTGTTGTGTGGATTCTTGGTACTATGGTCTACAGATAAAATTAATTATTATTAAATGTATATTTTTTTCTGGAGGCGGTAAGTGTGATCATTAAGGCTGGTTTAGAGTTTAATACTCATAAGTGATTGTGTTTATATGCTACAGAAGCATCTGTGGGTGACGAATGAAGACCCCGTCGATCTGCAGTTTAATCATTCGGGATATCTCTTCCTCGCCAGTGAAAAATCCGCTCATGTTATGGAGGAAAACTACAGCACACAGAGGTGACGAAAAGTTAGATTGCAGAGTTTATTTATTATGTTTTCTATTTTGATTAAGCATATGTCATATCAGCAAATCGAAAGGACTTTGCGCACAACAGACTCGCTGTATAAAGTTAAAGATTAATAAAGGCACATGTTTTTAAGAGAACTTGACACTGACTTGCAATATCTTACAGTATATATTGACACATTTTCATAGATTTATTTAAAATAAACTATTTTTAATTAATAATCAGGTGCATGTGTTCGGTGGATGAATTTTGTTTTCAGTAGTGCTGCAAAACGATTAATCGTGGCTAATAGCACCCAAAATAAAAGCCTCTGTATGATGTGTATATATATATATGTAAATATGTGTATATATATATATATATATATATATATATATATATATATATATACTGTTCAGTTTTGGTATGTGTATGGTCAGTATTGAGGAGAAAGTGAGACAATGCATTAATGATAAGCTAAATTTCTCTGCAGCCATCTTTGTGTTTTCTTTGGTTCCTTTTATGTTTTTAACATTGAGTATCAGGAGTCAACCAATGTCAATGTCACAGAGGTAATTAAAAGGTAAAGATATCGGCGAGATGCATTTAAAGGCAAAAATATTCACACAGAGCAACCAAATTATCACAATCATTGCTATAACTTTGTTTACTTTTCTATAATTAATCTAATTTGCCTAGTTTAGCCTATAGTTAAGCTTTTAAATTGCACTTTAAGCGGAATATTAGTATTTTGCTAAATAACTAGTAAAAATGTGTTATTTATAAATATATCTTAAACAGCACGTACATACATTTTTGCAGAGACTCAATTAATTTGTCTGGAAAACTTCAAATGAAGTAGGTAAAAGTGGCATTAACAGTATAGTATAAAGGCTTTCCTAAATAAATGTATTAATCAGGTTATTTTATTTATTTATTTATTTTTATTACTACAGGTTTGGAACAACATGTGGATAAGATTATTTATTATTATTATTATTATTTATTTATTTTTTTTTTGCTTTGGATGAATTTTTTATATTTTTATTGTTTTTATTCAATGATATGTGCATGATTGTGATAAATGTAGGCAGTTTCTTTGAAAATATGCTATGTACCAGGGATGTCAAACTCCTGAAGGGCCACAGCCCAGCAGAATTTAGTTCCAGCCCTGCTTCAGCACACTACCTTTAGATTTAGTTTGATCAGGTGTGTTTAATTAGTATAACTGCACTGTTACTCTGTAGATTGTGCAGTAAATAACTGTAAAAAACAATGATTTAGGCACACTCACATACACACTCCCACAGGCTGTCCGTCTTATTCTAAACACAAAGGTGTTAGAAAGAGTTTTCAGAAAATGCCGGCCCTTTAAGGGAGCCAGGTGTTTGATTTGTTTACTGCTGAGTGTGCTCTCTGCTATGTCCATCAATTGAGATGTAGAGTCTGATATGTTTTAGGTTTTAAATAAGAATCTACAATGAGTAAGTAAAATGTGTTCAAATGTTTTTGAGGGTTTCTAAAATAAGGCTGTGTTTTAAGTTATACTGTTGTTATCTTGAACTGTGTACTTGAAAGCTACATTGTTAGCTAGTTAGCCTCTCCTCATATAACTTCTTACATTACTTTTGTTTAAGTACAGTATATGTATTTATTGGATATTGCATACTGCTATAATGTACAGATGCTAACAATTGTTTGTATCTTTCTGGCAACTAAGCCAAAATTAAATTCCATCATCTCTGTAAGGTAACATGTGCACATCATCACAGGGAATCACAAAAACATGATACACATAGCCATCCACACACAAAAGCTCCACTGTCCGGTCCCAGGTTGTGAGTTTGTTACTAAGTATTTTTCAGAGCTGTGTTTCCACCTATGAATTTATATTAAAAACAATAAAAAAGTTTGTTGTCATGAGATAATTATAACAATAAAATATTGGATCCTTTGGTTTTTCAGTGTTGCCAACTTTATTTTTGTTTTCTACAATTATTTTAAACTTTTTATTGAGAGTTGACACAGTTTTTAATTATTTCAAACTTTAAAATGTAAAATAATTATTTTGTGTTTTTTGCTGTTGAGTTTTTTTTTTTTGCATGGTCAGCATTGAGGAGAGAGTAACACATTTCACTGCAGCACTTTGTGTGTGTGTGTGTTTATTGGATATGTGATTGTGATAAATGTTGGCAGTTGCTTTAAAAGTATTGCTAATACCAGGGGTTCCCCTTCGGTTGGGGAACTTCAGTGCCATGAATGGGAGGATTCGGATCAGAAGCCGCTTATCTGGAGAGTATTGAACGGGCCAATGAATGAAATTAATTGGCAGCGTAAGCTTGCGCAGGTGTGCGACATCTGCAATTATCTCAGCATATAAGCACACCTGAAGCCAGCAGACGCCATCCTTTTCGCTTCAGATCCTTTCTGAGTGAGTCGATGAGGGTTCCTCTTGCTGATCAGCACTTCAGAGCGAACGAGTGTGTCTCCCGGTCCAGAGTGGGTCTTCGCGGTGGCAGACGGTCGAGCTGGGTTACTCCCTTGCCTGCGGTTCTTTGGGTCCGGTCCTCCAGAGCGGTGCGTATAGTTGCAACTTTCCTAAAAGAGCAACACAGTCGTGCAGCACGTCCTTTTCAGGATGGCGCTCCGACTGTGCGTTTCTGGATGCGGGGGTTTCCTGTCTCCGGATGATGGACACGATCACTGCATTGCATGTTTGGGGGTCCAGCATGTTAATGCGGTGCTCGCGGGCGGTTCATGTCGTCATTGCGATGCCATGACCGTTGCACAGCTAAGATCGCGGCTAACTTTCGCAAGAGAGCGAGCCACCCCAGTTGCCTCCTGTTCTAAAAAAGCAGCGGGCGCTCGGGCAGATCTGAGGGTTTCAGCGGGAGCTAATCCGCCGCCCACGGGCTCGCGGACCTCTCGCTCCTCACGGCGCTCCATCCAAGCTTCGGGTGGTGAGAGTGATCCGTCTAACCAGATGGTAGCTCTCACACTCGCTGACACCGGAGATCAGATGTCCTCCGCGGCATCGGAGGGTGGGCTTTCACTGTCCGACGAAGATCCGGACCCGCTCGCCCCCTCCGGGCAGGTGAGCGCTGTCAAATCGGATCCTGAAGCGGACATGTTAGCCGTGCTTTCCCGGGCTGCTTCGGCCGTGGGGTTGGAGATGGTTTATCCCCCAGCTCCGCGGCCGGACCGACTAGATGGGTGCTACGTAGAGGACCAGAAGGCGAAGCCTTCGAAGCCTCTCGTCCCCTTCTTCCCGGAAGTGCACAGTAGGCTCACGCAGTCCTGGAGGGCACCTTTCTCTGCCCGTGCTGCGAGTGCCTCCGCCC